ATATATATTTATAGCAGCACAATTTGTAATACCTAAATCTTGGAAACAATCCAAATACCCATGAACTGAGGGATGGATAAAAAACAAGTGGTCTATTTATACAAAAGAGTACTATTCATCCATAAAAAAGGATAAACTTGAGACTTTTATAGGTAAATGAATGCAACTTGAGACCATACTCATAAATCAAATAAAACAGATTCACATTTTTAAACATCATATCGTCTCCCTGGTGAGAGAAACTAAACAAGTAAGTAAGACTTAAATGTACAATAGATGCTGTGAAATGTAAATAAATTTTTCAATACAAAAAGTATCTAGGTTGGGGAAAAGGAGAAAGGGCAGAAGGGGAAAGGGAAAGAATGCAAGTCAGTTATACTATTAGTGTCTCTTAGTTCATTAAAAAGGAAAGTTTATGCTAATACTCTAATTGGAGAAATTTTTATCCCTCTATCTTACACTCTGAATAGCTGCTTTAAAGATAACAACTTGCAATGTATTAACTATTGTTATTTTCCTATTATTTCTTTTGAAATATTGTTTTACTTTTTTTCCATAAAATAAAAAAATTAAAGCACATGAACAAACTATATTGGGGAGCAGAGTCATAAGTCCAGGGAGTTGAAGCTGAGATATATCTTGAGCATAAAGAGGAAAGACCATGAGCATCTCCTCAGTGCATCCTGGGCTGCAGATCTATTGGGTGTATTGCTTCCATCTCCTCAGAACAGCTCTAGAAACAGTGTTGACAGCCACAGGTGCAAAGTAGTGGAAAGCAGGTGGCACATGAAAATGGTATTAAGGGTGCTGTCCTGTCTGAGGTTCTCACTGGCTACCATGGGCTTTTCCTGAGAAAGTGGTTTTGTATTAAAAGGGTTGTTAGAGTCAGACTGAAATATGTTCCTATGCAGAAAATCCATGAAGAGTAGGCATAGAGAAAACTCATTTGTACAGTATTCTAAAGAAAGGGTTGATACATTTCAAGACGATTTTGCTAAGACTCCTATTAATTTTATTGGTTTCTTGCTGTAGGCAAAAATACCAGACATCCAGAACTTAAGAACAAAAGATTTATTTTAGCTCAGGTTTTCATAGATTGAAGTCAGTTACTATTTGAGTCAAAAGGCGAAACATCAGAGTGGAAGGAAATGAGCAAGGAAAGGTAACTAGACTATGAGAACCAGGAAGCAGAGAGCAAAAATAGTGTTAGAGAGGAAGTGGTAGGGAGAAGATCTGATCCTGAATGTCACACCTCCATGACTCGACCTGACATACTATAAAGTGCTTTACTGATATCCTACCCACCTCTTATGTCTAACAAGATATTAATTAAGAGTATTACATGATTCCAGGTAGTATTTTTCTTCTAGGATTAGTAATGTGTTGAAAGATAGAATTTGAACTTGAGTGGACAGAACTGCAAGAAAAGGCAGCTTATATAGTCTGAAATCTTTCAGCTTTCCTGCCTGACAAATGAAATGCATTTATTCAGTTATGTTATTCCCTTCTGACATATAGCTATTTACTTTGATTAAAATAAGTAAATTGCGAGATACAGTGTAAGAAAGTCTCTTCAGTGAAGCCAACTACCTTACTGCAAATGTTTACTTCTCACAGGCTCATGGCCTCTCTCTATCCCTTGGGTTCCGGCCTTGCCTGAACTCATGATGTTCTCTTACAGTGATTTTTGCATGGTATTTTAACTCTAGAATTATCTTAGCACACTTGTGACCTCATTTTGAGAGTCAACACACAGGAAGAGTCCATTGAGTCTACTAAGAACACAGGAGGATCCAGGCATGGTGGTACACGCCAGTTAATCCCAGACCTGAGGAAGCTGATGTAGGAAGATCCCAGAATGTTTAAGGCCAGTTTGGGGTACATAATGAGATATAAAGCAGACTAAATTACACAGCGAGACCCTGTCATAAAAAAGGCAGACGCAGTTCTGCAAATTTAGGAATAAACACTGCGTAAAGGAAGGCTAGGACAGTCGGCATCGTGGGAGAGAAACTAATCTTGAAGCCTCTGAGTTACAATCTAGCATTTGAGCTCCATTTGCACGGGTAGGGACTCACTTCTCTTGTCAGTCTCAGTTTAGAGGGCGGGCCGAGGAGCAGCAGCAAATCAGCGTTGAGGGACGGGCGGTACGGGCTGTCCAATCAGGTGGGCCAAGGGAGGAGGGTTCTGTTTCCCAGCGCCAAAGTCCGGATCCTGAGCGTATTGCCGAGTCCGCCCAGCCTCTTAGACTTCTTTACTTTAGGATTTCTACTGGCTTCGGGCTGTAGAAGGACCCCCGGAGACCCTCAAGCCTCGCAATGGTAAGGTTGTGGGATGGGTGCCCGGAGATGGGTCGGGAGGGGATGGGGCTGAGATCCGGATGGAAGAGGTAGAAACAGCAATGGCGGTCTGGAACCGCTCTGCCAGCTTCAGTGTGAGTCCCCCAGTCTTTAGGGCTGCGTTCACTGAGTCCATCCTGCCCTGGTTGAGGCAGGTGCATTTTGGGTGCGCAACACCCTGTTTTCCAAAGGCCATGTTTGCGGCCCGCAGTGCAGTTTCACTCAACCTCAGCTGGTAGCTGCGTCACCAAGTGTACAAGGAGAGTGGGAGTTGTGGGGAGACCTGTACCAGAAGGGATGAGCTGGAGGAGCTGTGGTGCGCTGCTTCGCTGATTCATTCCCTGATGTTTGTATTGTACAGAACATTGAACTTGGGATTTTTTCTTTGAAATAGATTCCCCCCACTTTTGAATAATTTCCTTTTTTTTTAGTTTGAGATCGCGTCTCACTACGCTGCTCAGGCTGCGTTAAACATTTTTGCTTGTTTCTTTGTTTTTATTTCTTGATTTTTCAGACAGAATCTTGCTATGAATTTGAATCTGGCCTTGAACTCACCATGTAGCCCAGCCTGGTCTCAAAGTCGGGTGTTCCTTTTGCCTAGGTCTCTTTGAGGGCTGGGAATTAGAGACATGCACCAACTCGCTTGTCTTGGGGTGAGCTTTTGATCTTGTTTCCTTCTCCTGCAGTGTTGAGATGACCGACCTGTGCCGTTATGCTGGGCTAAGATGGGGGTGCTTTGTCACCATTGGGTTTTTGTTTATTTGTTTGGTTTTTTTTTTGTCTTTTTGAGACAGGGTGTCGCAATGCAGTTCAGGCTGGCCTTGAGCTCACTCTGTAGCCCAGGCTGGTCTCGAACTCGCAACGATCCTCCTGCCTCAACCTCCCAAGTGCTGGGATTACAGGCGTGCGCCACCACGCCCGGCGCTGTCACCATTGGTTTTTGTTTTGTTTTGTTTTGTTTTGTTTTGTTTTGTTTTATTCACCAGTGTTAACCAGCATTACAGTGTTTGATTAAATGAAATTTCAGTGAGGCATGGTGGTGCCCACCTTGCTTCTTAGCCACTTCGGTCACTGAGGCAAGAGGATGGCTATACCAAGGCCAGCCTGGACAGTAGAGCAAGACCCAGTACAACATAAAATAAAAATCTTGGGGTTGTGTCTCCAATCTAAAGTAACTTGTGTAACATGTGTAAGGCCCTAAATTCAATCTTCAGTACGGAAGTATTAAAAAAATAATGATGAACATTCAGTTAAAAATTTACCTCCCTTGTTGCATTTCATGCTGTTTGCACATTACTAATACTGATACAATACTCACTAAAGATACTGCGTAGCAGCTGTGAGTCACTGATGGTCAGCATCAGAAAACCATCTGGAAACAGCCAGTGATTTCCAGTGCACCATGTTCAATAAAGTCCACAGGATATTTAGAATTTTAATATGAAACTGGGTATGTGTTACGTAAATTTTCTTAAATACAAGTCAATATAGGTGTGTTGAGTTGTTTTAAAGAAGTCAAGGCTTAATAATAATGTTTGCTAGATTAGGTGTACTCAGAGCATTTTCAGTAGCTTTTATTTTCAACTGACTGGTTTGGTCAAGATATTTTCCTTTGGTAACTCAAGCAGCTTTCAGGCAACTCTCTAAAGCAGCATTCATTCAACTCTTTGTGAAATGTTTCTCTGTAGAATATGAAACTGATCAGATAGTTTCTTGTGTTGAGGGTGGTATTAATTAGAGTTTCAGGAGAAACTGAACTGCCATACATGACTAGTGTTTTTATAAAAGAGCACAAAATTTGAGTTTGATTTCTCTCCTTTGGTTTGGTTTGGTTAGATTTTGCTATTTCTTTTGTATTATAGAGAGGGGCATACTCTGGTCATACTGGCTGGCTTGCTTCATCAGGACAAGGGGACAGGACAGAAATTGTCTATGAACACATCCAGGGCTGAGCAGTTTGATACAAAACACTAATCACATACAGTGCTGAAAAGAAAACACTTCTATCCCTAGATTGAATTGATGCTGATTCTGGGAATCATCCTAGCTGCCTCACCCCTGGTGAAAGTATTTGGCTTTGTCTTCTGCCTTTTCTTATTTTCCCTTCCTTGCACTTAAGACACATATCTGTCTAGCAGTGTCTCCTCCATGAGTTGGGGCTCTTTTTTCTTTCCAGTAATTTACTACTCTCTGGGAAAGAAGTGATCCAGAGCCTTTGTTACGTGTTCTGTGTGTGTTTGGAAGCTGCTGTCCCTGAAATACGACCCCCACCAAGTTCTCCTAGATTCCCCACACTGGGCAGCTCTCATGTTTTCAGCCTGGAAGCCCATGGGAATGGCCTAATGAAAAGGAAGCAGATAGCTGAGATAATGCTCAGAACTTCAATTCAAGCTACCTCTTAGCTTGGTATCCTTACTCCCCAGCCCACCTCTGTGTGTGTCATCATAGCACAGTTTAGCCTTTTGTGGGTTCTCTAGTGGCATCAGAGAGGAAAGTAGGGGGAGCAAAAGATGAAAGAGTGTGCAAATATAGACTGGAATTTATTTGGGTAGAGTTACTCAGTTTGGGTCTGTGGTGCAAAGATGAAGATGACAGCTCTCGGGGACATTTTTATCCTCTTATGGTCTGATATGATTCAGCAGTTTATGTGGCTATCACATCAGCTCAGTCAGAGGTTTTCAGCCACTAGTGATTCCATACTTTAGAACACATGTCGATGGATTATGATAAGGCAGGTTTTTCTAGTTCTGTCAATGATATAAATACACAGCAACCCTTCTCTTTCTTGTTGCCTTAGAAACAGATTCGAGAAAATGCCTTAGATTCTCCTGAGCATGTTTGCTAGCGCACAGTGTGTGTCCATGTAAAATCTAACGCAGACTATCCACACTGCCACCATCAGTGGGCAATAATTCCTAATTCTCATGATCACCAATGCCAGACTTTTTCTAACTTGATGAATTTTGTGGATTTGAATTGATGCGCATTTCCGTTTTCTCCTGTTTCCTATATTTCCTTTTTTATATTTCCTTTTTCTGTTTCCTGTGAATTGCCTCCTCTTATCATGTGTTCATATTTCTGATGAGGATACTTTTTTTTTTTTAATAAACTCTTTTCCCTGCCAGTTATTTGGTTGTGACTTTTGAGAATGAAAATGCTTTCTATGATTTTTAAACTGCAGGTTAATATCATCATGGATTTACCTTGCTGAACAGAAGTCCTGTTTTTGCATCTTTTCAAAGTCACCTGAACATTTGTGGCTTTACATATTTATATTGACATTTTCTCTACTCCTACACCAGAAAGTCATTTTCTTATTCTTTCTCCTGCAGTTTACAGCTTTGTATTTCATAGTTTGTTCTTGTATCTTCATAGAGTGAACCATTAATGTTCACAGTGCTGAACCCAGAATTACTTCCCTTCTAAGATGCACAATTTACCACTGTAAGTGGTCCATCACCCCTTCCTCTTGAATTGTGTTGCCAGCCATATCAATTCTCAGTTTAGAATAATTTCAAAATATTTCATGATATTTTTGATAAATTTTATGTCTCCATATGTTGTTTCATGTTCAGAATTAAATGACTGTAGCTATCTTGTGTCCCAAGAAATGAAAAGGGAAAACCCTTTCCTTTTTAATCTAAGATTTAAAAAATACAGTGCCATCTTCTGTTTTTCAGAAGGGATTCTAGAAGATTTTTGTCACATTTGTAGTTGATTCCCAATACAGTTGTATTAAGCATATAATATGAAGAATTTACAGTATGTAACATCATCAATCTAATTCTTCATATTATCTGCTACATATTGAGATCTTCCTCTGCAATTTTTTCTTTTGGATATTTGAGATAGGGTATCACTGTGTAACGTAGGTAATGTTAAACTTGTGTACTCCAGACAGACAAAGTACTTGTGGTGATCTTCCCATTTCAGACTCCGAAGGGCTGGGATTACAGGCCTGTGCCCTATGCCTGGGTATAGAACTTTTACTGTAGGCAGTATTTTCCTCTATGAATAAGTTGCAGATTTTTAAAAAAGATTTTCTTGATAACCTTATATAAAGATCTATATGTAAATGCATGGAAGTGTATCACTATTTCTAGGTGTTAATATAATCCCTCCTTTACAGTTATATGTGCGAAGGATTTTCTTCTCTAAAAAACTGGCACAAATTGAGAAAAGGAGCAGTTATCTCTTTTCAAGGCTGACATTAGAGGTTTTTACAAAAAGTGATAAAATCAGTCTTATTAAATTTATTTTTTGTTTATTTATTTTTTGAGACAGGGTCTCACTTTGTGGTGCAGGTGCATGTTGAACTCACTATATGGACACAGCTGGCCTTGAACTTGGAACAGTCCTCATCCTCAGCCTACTCAGTGCTGGGATTTCAGGCGTGCACCACCATGCCTAGCTAGTTCAATGTATTTTTCAAACTGTAGTTTGTTCGTGAAATGTCACATTCACATGTCGTAGGTAAATTCCTGACTTTTGTTTTTGCTAATAATGAATTTTTTTTTTCTATTTTAACTTGTAGTAAATTAAAAATTGGTTATTAAACCAATTTTAGAGAAAAGACCTTTTACTTCAGTCTTGCTAATTCTGGAGTCAGTGTGCTAAAATCTTAAAACTGTGACAAACAGTTTCAAAGTTTATAGCAAAAGTAAAACAAGCCAATAAGAGCAAAGCGAATCCTCTCTGTGTATTAGACTTGAACTAAAAATCATAGTGACCAAGTTAATTGAAGAAAGTCAGTATTTCTGTGAGGCAAGCTTAGTTTTTTTCAGAAAGGTATGTCAAGCAAATACTTAAGAGTCACCTCTTGTAAACTGATAAGAACCGCCATTTGAGGAAAAGCACACAATTTACTAATGCTAAGACCAAGAATTATGGTTTAATAACAACTTTAGGATTTTTTGGTTCATGTACAGAACTGTGAATAATGTGACAGTGTGCAAAAATTAATGTATGCTTTAACAACTAAGAACATACATTTTGAGCAAGATTGTCTTATCCCAAACGAATGTGGCTTTTGTCACTTATATGAATATAAGCAGTACACAAAGCAGTAAGGTAGCAAAACAGTTTAGTTACTTTTACAGAATGTTAACAGCCATTCTCACTGGTTGCATTATGTTTGAACAATGACATTTTCAAAAATCAGGAAAATTACATAATAGTAGTTTGCACAACTAGAAATGTAAAAGATAATTGAAAGCAGCTATCCAAATACATATGAATTTCATAAGACTTTTTTTTGTTGCTGTTATTTTGAAATAGAGTCACACTATGTAGTTCAATAGAGCCTTGAACTTACTATGTAGTCCAGGCTGGGCTCAAACTTGTGGAGATCTCCTCTCCAGTCCTTGGAAGACTGGCATATATAACCACACCCAATTTTTAAAATTGTTTTTAAAGAATTTAAGTCTAACAAGACTGGAAAACACTAGAAATTATTGGGAAAATTTAAAACCTCTTTTTAAAAGTTCTTCTGTACATTTCATTAAAAAAAGATCCATACTCAAATCCTTGTTTTTTAAAAGATATCACCATTGTCCCTGTTTTAATTTTTTAAAATGTTTTTAGAACACATTCTCTAAATCAGATGTTTTGCTCAAGACTTACACTGTCAAGATGTATGATCAGTTCATAAGAAAAACATAACTTTCATGTTATTGTGAAATTATGTCATCACACACGTTATCAGTTGTTCTGAAACCAGTTATTAACACCTACTTGTATCCCAAACTGTGTCATATATAGACATCAACACTGTACTTCTACAAAAGAACACATCACATACTTGAGGTGGGAAAACTTCATAAACTTTTATTTTTAAACTGTTTGTATCCAGTTTTCTGGGAAAAAGTCATTTTTATACAGCTGTTTGTAAGTTCTTAATTTAATCAAAGAATAAGGCCAGAGATGTAGCTCAGCAGCACAGAGCCTGCCCAGCAAGCGCAAGGTCTTGAGTTCGATTCCTGGTACCAAAAAAAAAAAAAAAAAAAATTTAATCAAAGAATAGAGAGTAAAATAAGAGCAGTTTATGCAATAGAGAAAAAGCAAGCCTTTTAGCACTTCTTAAAACTATTTATACTAGGGCATATAAACAAACCCATAAATGACCAGATAAGCCACAGCTATTAACTATTTAGAGAAAGTTTTTTTAAACCATTTTTAGGGTACTAAATGAGTTGTGCCTAATAAATTATTAACTTTAGGATATCTTAAAATGAGAACCAGATATAATCTTCAATCACTTTGAAATCCATTCTTTAAAGCTTGCTTTTAAATTGAGCTGTAATTTGACAAAAGTCTCTGATTTGTGAAGTCTACTGTTTCACTAGAAGTTACTCAAATGACACCTTTTTATCTTCTATCAGTGTTACACACACTCACATGTATAGATAAACATTCTGTGAAATATAGTTAGTATATTTAAATGCACCATTTAAGAATTTTAAGAAGCAAAGAATACATGAATTTATACTTAACAAACATCTTTAATGTTTTATTATAAATAACTCATATCTTACTTAGATAGCTATCTAATTAAATTTTTCACATTTCCACTAGATTGCCCATAAAATTTAAAACATCTGTCAAAAAGTAACTGTTGACCTAAAACAATGTTTTCTGGAGAATAAAAAAAATTTAAATTATAGTCAATGCATGAATATTGAATCAACATGTAATTGAAAGCTATTTAAAAATCTGTGAAGAGTTTTGTGGAACTCTTGAACATGAAAATTTACATTAACTCCAGTGAATTATTTTTAACTAAATTTTTAAGTCACTGTAAGAAGTAGAGAGGTAGATGGTTCATTTTTATTTAGCTTGGCATGAAAATTTGCACCCCTATCCATAGGCACAGTAAAGGCAGTTATTTTAGGCTTAATCTCTTTTGTGTGTGTGTGTGTCTGAGACAGTCTCATGCTGGCCTTGAGCTCACTTTGTAGCCCAGGCTGGTCTCCTGCCTCAGCCTCCGGGTGCTGGGATTACTGGCGTGGGCCACCTAGCCCCTCGGCTTTAGGCTTAATCTCAAAGAATGACTCCCACCCAGAAATCTCAGAAGAAGTTAGAGCTAGATACTTTTTTGGTATTTTTGGTTGTTTTTTTCTCCGGTACCGGAAACCGAACTCACGGCCTTGCGCTTGCCAGGCAGGCGCTTTGCCGCTGAGCTAAATCCCCAGCCCCAGAGCTAGATACTTGATAAGCAAATGACATTCCACAAACAAAGGAATGCGTAGAGAACGGTGGGTTTCTCTAAAAACTATGATGGCAGTTGAGAAGATTATACCTCCCTGACTTCAATGAGGAGAGGAGGGAGGGGAGCTTGCAAGCTAGTGATATAAAAGCCACTGATTGTTTAAGTAATTGTCTTTGTTTTTGTGGGTTTTTTTTGGTACCAGGAATTGAACTCAGGACCTTGCACTTGCCAGGCAGGCGCTTGTGCTGCTGAACTATATCCCCAGCGAGCCACTGATTGTTTAGATCAGGAGTGCCTGGCTTTGGTCAGAAAGCCATTTTGCAGAATCACCATCAAAGTTTCACTTTTGCTATACTAAGTGAACTTTTAAAAGTAAAAGTTCTTTTACTTTTGAGGTCTGGATGGTGGGCTTTTCCCTCATTAATCAAAGCAAACTCTCCTGGATAATAAAGATGCTCATAAGTGAATTTACTTGTAGGACTGTAAAGGAACGTTATTAATCATGGGTATTAAAAACTATGGAGCTTGGGCTGGGGATGTAGCTCAGCGGCACAAGTGCCTGCCTGGCAAGCGCAAAGTCCTGAGTTCGATTCCCGGTACCAAAGAAAAAAACCCCAAAACCGAAAAACAAAATCTGCAGAGCTCAAAAGATCTAGAAATTTCCAAGAACTGCCAGGAGAAAAGCCAACCTATATTGTTTTCTCCTGGCTTCATCATTTTAGAGTTGTGGAAGTTATTACTTACGTAAACAGGTGCGCAACTGTTTTAGAAAATTAGGAAAAAGTACAGCATGGTTATTTGTTTACTCAGACAGAAGTTAATGCATGAAACAAAACTGTCTATTCCTTCCCATAGACTTAGGTAGAAAGCTCTCAAGTGGACTTACATTAGATAATGTTGGAAAAACCAAAGCTTTTATTTGCTTCCACTTCTCCATTATAATAAGTCACAGGGGGTATGTGTTATTCAACTCAATGCCTGTTGAATAGAGTAACCAAGTAGACGCTGCCAGTCTTGGTAAATCACTCTTGTTTAAGAAAGCAGTCCTGTGAAATTTTTGGAAAAAAACAATCTTGTTACTGATGCAGATATGACATAGCACCCATTGTAGGGATGGGAAATAGGCAGACCTGGCTGGGGATTTCCCTGCTACTCATTACATGGATGATTTCCACGTTTTTCCTCAGGTATTTAAAAGCCTTTTTTTTGTATACAAAATAACTCTTAACCAGTGTTTGCAAACTACTTCCTCTTAGGACCCCTCCTACTAATACTAGGAGCAGCCTTTAAACTGACTACTGCAAAATAACATTTTTTGAGAATTTGAACAATTTAAACTTTTTTTAGACAGTGTCTCACTATGTCCTCCAAACTGGCTTTCAACTCACACCAATCTTTCTACCACTGCCTCCAAATGCTAGTATAGATATAGGGATGATACAGGAACCTCCAAATAATGTAAGGGAAATCTTATACCTCCCAATTTTTAGATGTCCAGTATGCTGAGTTTGTGTTCCCCAAAATCGAAGAAAGAATTCAATCAGTGGAGGTGAAGAGGAGGAAACATTTATCTAGGGAAAGATACATTTCGTCTAAGGGAGACAGCAGTGGACCCAGAAAGTGGATTGCCAGGGACCCCAAGTCCTATGGAAAGCTTTATACAGCAAAAAATCATGAGGTGGATGTAAAATCATGAGGTTGATATGTGGTGGGACAAAACTATGGTCAAGTGATAAGAATACAAATATAGTTACCTGGGTAATATTTATCCAGTGGGAAAGCAAGTCACATAGCAAGTGAACATGGAGTGAACAAAGAATTTTCCTGGAAGGAATGGATCAGGGAGGGTCTGCTCCCCCATCCAAGGTGAGTGATGTCTATTTAGAATATCAGTCATTGCTGTTCTTTCATCCCAGAAGTATGTGGGTATAGTTATTTCATTTATCCTGAGGGCTATTGGGCAACAAAAATAACTCTCACCACAATTGCAATGTGTTTTTATTTTTTCTACTGTGTTCTTTGAGAACCAGCCTGTCTAACTGCCTATAATATTGCTAAGTAACTTAGCTTTCTATAATACTAGGATTACAAGTATAACAATTTAAACCTTTAAATAAAAAGAATGCTTATCGAGTGCTGTATTAAGTATGTCACATTATCTCAGTGTGTGACTCTGATTCTCAAGAGTCTTTAAGATTCTAACAAATTCAAACAATTTAATTACATCCCCTTTGTGTTCTTTAATCTTTTTTTAAGCTTTATAAAACTGAAATTTTTCTTTAAATGCAAACACCTAAAATAGAATTCTGATTGGTCTGCACGCAATGTGTATGGCTAAGAATTGAGGACATCTTTGCTGTATCTTTTAACACATTTTTCAGGCTTGTAAATAAAAAGTTATCTGCATGAATGCTTTTTTCATGACTTAGTGCTCTTATTTTTTAATTAATCTGGTACCACCTGAATGATACGCAAACAAAAGTTCACACATAAGCTTACTATACATACATTCACAAGTTACACTTTTCATGCTTTTTCTTCGTACATTCTTAAGAAATACTTAATCTCACATTTGCCTGTCAGAAGGTAGCATTTCCTTTTTGGAGCAAGGTGAGAAAGAAACATCTCAAAGGAGGTTGCTTGCCTAATTAAAAGGGGGTTTGAATTTCTGAAAGCTGATTTTCCTGTCTTATGATAGGTCTTAGTCAATTTGAAAGTTTAAAAACAAAATTTGAAAGTTTATGCCCTAAGTTTCAAGATGTTTTTCATTGTGATAAAATTTAGATATAGCTAGATAAAATTGCATACATTTTGCAAGACATGTAGAATGAAAAAGAATAGCTCAAGAAGAGGGTACTCTTCACTAAGAAAAACACAGGATCAGGCCATCTTGAGATAGCAATTTCTGTCTATTTTCTTGTTAAGGAATGCAGGTGGTAGGAGACAATAATCAATTTTCAGCAAAGAAGTTTCAAAAAATATTCTGAAACACTATACTCAATCCTGGCTCATTCATCTGTTGGTGGGCATCTGGGCTGTTTCCAGGACTTAACTTACAGATTGTACTGGTATAAACATGGGTGTGCAAATATCACTGTGGTATGATGCTTTGAACTCTTTCAGGAAGATACAGAGAAGAGTCAAATGGAATGTCTAGTTTTAGATTTTTGAGGAATCTCCATACTGATTTCCATTTTCATTCTACCAGTTTATATTCCCACCGGCAATGGAGAAGTGTTGCTTTTTCTCTCCATCCTCACCAGCATTTGTTATTGGTTGATTTCTTGATAATAGTCGTTCTTGCTGGAGTGAGATGAAATCTCAGTGTTGTTTTCATTTTCATTTCTCAACTGACCAGTGATGTTGAGCGTTTTAAAATATACTTCTTCATCTGAGAAATGTCTAATCATTTCATGTGCCCATGTTTGGAATAGGTCTTTAAATTTGGGAAGTTCTAATTTTTTTTTTTTTTACTTCTTTATATATTCTAGATATTAGTCCTTTGAGGCATAGCTGATAAAAAATTTTTCCCCGTTCTATGGGTTGTCTGTTTACTTTGTTGGTGGTTTCTTTTACTGTGTAATTTGTAATTTGAGCTTTGTAATTTGATGTGATCACAGTTGTCAGTTCTTTGTAATATTTCTTGGGTGACAGTTTTTGTTCATAAAGTGTTCACGTACACCTAAGTCTTTTAGAGTTTTACCTGTTCTATCTTCCAGGAAATTAAATGTTTCTCCTTTAATATTTAGATCTGTGATCCATTTCAGTTTTTTTTTTTTTATTTTAAAGAGAAAGATGAAATAAAAGCAATGATACAGTTTCAAAACAAGATAATAAGATATTAATGACCATTAATGTGTTGCATATTGTTGTCTTCAGAGTAGTTGCTCAGATTAGAAGATGTAGGCATGCAAAATTAATCAACCAATATAAGCACAAACATCTTTTCAATGGACTGAAAGAAATTAGTAGTATAATTATGTTAGCTATCTTGTGTTTATATCTATTATTTTTTTCCCTTGTTTTCTCCTTTTCCCCACCCCAGTTGTTATTTCCTTTTGAGCAGTTTCTTTCCCTTTCTCAGTATCTATTGGAGATTTTGTATCTTACTTACTTGTCTCACTAGGGAGACAAGACAGTGTTTACACATGTGAGTTTGATTTATTTCACTTATGAATATGGTCTCTAGTTGCATCCATTTACCTATAAAAGCCTCGAGTTTATCCCTCTTTGTAGTTGAGTAGTATTCCATTATATAAAAATACCAATGTTTTTTATCCATTCCTCAGTTGATGGGCATTTGGGTTGTTACCAAGATTTAGCTATTACAAATTATGCTGCTATAAAAAAGGGTGCACATATATCACTGGAATATGATGCTTTTAATTCTTCCAGGAAAATACCTAGACAGGGACTAGCTGGGTCAAGTGGGACCTCTACTCTTTAATTTTTTGAGGAATCCTAGTTTTTGTGGAATCTACTCCTAGTTTTTTGTGGTTTCCACAGTGTTTGTACCAGTCTACACTCCACTAATAGTGGAAAAGGGGTCCTTTTTCCCCACAGCCCCACCAGCATTTGTTATTGGTTGATTTCTTGATGCTGGCCATTCTTTCTGGGGTGAGATGGAAACTCAATGTTGTTTTAATTTGCATTTCTCAGATGACCAATGGTATTGAACATTTTTTCATATACTTATTTGCCATGTGTATTTCTTCATCCAGTAAGTGTGTATTCATCTCAGGTGCTCATTTTTGGATTGGGTCTTTGAATTGGGGGGAGCTGATTTTTTCAATTCTTTATATGTTCTCAATAGAAGTTCTTTGTCTGAGGGACTGTTGGCTAAATTTTTTTCTTACTCTGTGGGTTTTCTTTTCACTTTGTTGGTGATTTCTTTTGATGTGCACAAAATTTTTAATAACATGAGATCCCAGTTGATTCTTTGATGTATTTCCCAGTGTAGTTTGGTTTTTATTCATGAACACTGCCTACCCATATGTCTTCTAGATTTCTATCTACTTTCTCTTCCAGTAGATTTAGTGTTTTTGTTTTAATATTTAGGTCTTTGATCCATTTTTACTTTCGTTTAGTGCATGGTGATAGACATGGGTCTAGTTTCAGTCTTTGACATATAGAAAGCTAGTTTTCTCCAGCACCATTTGTTAAAGAGACTACCATCGAACATGTTTGGCCTCTTTGTCAAAGATAAGGTGGCTGAGTGTGTTTGTAGTTGCGTCTGTATTATCTAATCTTTTCCATTGGTCCTCAGGCTTTTTTTTTTTTTTTTGCCAGTACCATGCTGATTTTATCACAGTAGCTTTGTAGCATAATTTCAAGTCAGGGATTGTGATACCTCCTGCCTTGCTTTTGTTGCCAAGGATTGCCTTTGCTATTCTAAGTCCCTTCTGTTTCCAGATTTATTTTAGGAATGTTTTCTCTAGATCTATGAGTTATGTTAATGGTATTTTGAGCTAGATTGCATTAAATCTGTACAACAGTTTTGGGAAGATAGCCATTTTCACAGTGTTGGTTCTTCCTTTCCATGAGCAAGGGATATCTTTCTATTTTCTGAAATCCTCTTCTTCTTCTTTCTTCAGAGTGCTATAATTTTCAGTGTATAGATCTTTTACTTCCTTTGTTAGATTGACTCCAAAGTGTTTCATTTTTTGGATGCTATTGTGAAGGGTGTGGTTTCCCTAATTTCTCTCTCAGTGAGTTTGTTGTTTGTATACAGGAATGCTATTGATTTTTGAGTGTTGACTTTGTATCCAGCTATACGACTGAATTTGGTTATTAAATCTAGAAGTCTTCTGGTGGAATTTTTGGGGTCTTCTATATAGAGCATCATGTTATCTGTAAATAATGATAATTTCACTTCTTCATTTCCTATCCTTATTCCTTTTATTTCTCTGTCTTATCTAATTGCTCTAGCTAATAGCTAATTGCTCTAGCTAATATTTCCAGAACTGTATTGAATAGGAGAGGTGACAGTGGACATCCTTGTCTTGTTCCTGATTTTAGAGTGGAAGCTTTCAGTTTTGTCCATTTAGTACACTGGCTGTTGGTTTGTCATAGATGACTTTTATCAGAGTGAGGTAAAGATCATCTATTCCTGTTTTCCCATAGGGTTTTTATGATGAATGAATGTTAGACTTTATCAAAAGCTTTTTCTGCATCTATTGAGATGATCACGTGATTTTTGTCTTTGGCTGTATTGATATGGCAGTTACATTAATTGATTTACATATATTGACAATCTCTGCATTCTTGGGGTGAGTCCCACTTGGTCATGATGTATGAATTTCTTGATGATTTGCTGCATTTTGTTTGTTAGTATTTTACTGAGAACTTTTGCATCCGCATTCATTAGAGAGATTGGCCTGTAGTTCTCTTTCTTGTGTCTTTCTCTGGTTTCTTGTGTCTTTCTCTGCTTTTGGGTATCAGGGTAATACTTTCCTCCAGGAATGAGTTAGGGAGAATTGCTTCCCCTTCAATTTCATTAAGGAGTTTGAAAGGTATTGGCATTAAATCTTATCTAAATTTCTTGTAGAATTCAACCATGTATCGATCAGGACCTGGGCTTTTCTTTGTTGGTAAGTTTTTTTATTACATTTTTTATTTCATTAATTGGTATTGGGTTATTTAGAATTTTTATAACTTTTTGATTCAGCTTTGGTAATTCATATGTTCCTAGGAATCTGTCCATTTCTTCTGTGTTTTCCAACCTCTACAAGTAAATATTTTCATAGTAGGTATTGATGATCTTCTGAATTTCCACAGGGTCTGTAGTGATTCCTTCCTTTTCATTACTTCATGGATTTGATTTTCTTCTTTCCTATTTTTGATAAGGTTGGATAGTGGTTTATCAAATTTGTTTATTCTTCCAAAGAACCAACTCTTCAGTCCATTAATTCTTTGTATTGTTTTCTTGGTCTCAGTTGCATTAATTTCTGCTCTGATCTTTACAATTTCTTCCTTTGTATGGGCTTTGGGCTTGACTTGCTCTTCTTTTTCTAGAAGCTTGAGGTGTAGCCTTAGTTTGTTTATTTGTGCTTGTTCTGTTTTCCTGATGCAGTAATTCACTGCTATAAATTTCCTTTTTCGGATAGCTTTCATTGCATCCCCCAGGTTCCATTAAGTTGTATTTGCATTTTTGTTTGATTGTAGGTATTGTTTAATTTCTTCTCTAATTTCATCTGTGACCCATTGACTGTTCAGGAGGAAATTACTAAATTTTCATATTTTTATGGAGTTTTTGCAGTTTCTTTTGTCATTCATTTCCAATTTTATTACACTGTGGTCAGATAATGTGCAGGAGAAAATTTCAATTCCTTTGCATTTACTTAAGCATGTTCTGTGGGCTAATATAAGGTCTATTTTAGCAAATGTCCCATGTGCAGCTGAGAAGAAAATGTATACAGATGCTGTTGGGTAGAAAACTGCAGATATCTACTGACTCCGTTTGTTCACAGGTTTGGTTCAGTTCTGCTATTTATTTCCAAACTTTTTGTCTAGCTGATCTATCTTTTGTAACAATGGGGCATTAAAATCCCCTGTTAGAATTGTCTTATTACTTATTTGATTTTTCATGTCTGTTAATATTTGTTGTATGTATCTGAGTGCACCAGTACTGGGTTCGTATATATTTTATGATTTTTTCCACTTCTTGTAGTTTTCTCTTAAACAGTAGGTAGTGACATTCTTTTTCCCCTGATTTCCAATATCATTGCACATTTCTTTCTCATGGATGTATGTTATTTCTCCATTGATTTTGAAAGATAGTTTTGGGGGGTACATCAATTGGGATGAAGGTTGTTTTCTTTTAGGGCTTAAAATACCTCACTCCAAGCTCTCCTTGATTTGAGGGTTTGTGTTGAGAAATCTGCTGTGCTTTGGATGGGCTTTCCTTTATAAGCAATTTGTTTCTTTCTCTAATCAGTTTTACTGTTTTGTTCTTGTGCTGAATTTCTGCAATATTGAATATCATATGCCATCGTGTAGATTTATTTTTTTCATGGCTCTTGGAAGTTACGTATGCTTCATTTATTTATATGTCAAATTCTTTATCCTTGTTTGGGAAATTTTCTGTCATTATTTCTGTGAACAGGTATTATATGCCTTTTGTGTTCTCCAGCTTTCTGACTGGCTCAGGTCTATCTTATGTTGTTCTTTTTTGCTTCATCTTGTGGCTGCTGGACTGATTTTTCATGGTCTCTTGCGTTTTTAGGATGCCTTTTTCTTTTCCTGGTTGCTGGCCCAATCCTGTATTCTACATTAGATAGTCTCTCCTTGCCTTCATTCAATCTGTTGCATATATTTTCAGTGGCGTTTTTAATCTCCTGGATTTGTGTTTGGATTTATCTCATGGATTCCATTACTTTCCTATCTTGGGCATGCATGGTTTCCATCATTTTCCTGAGCTCATCTATTTTTTTTTCTGTGTCTAGTTCAATGTCCTTATTTTGATTGTCATTTCTTTTTGTAACTTAGAGATTATTTTTCTTTAGCTTCTTCCATTGGTGTTCTTATTTATGCTGCTATCATTTCAAAAAATTTCAGTGGCTGGCTTCTAATTTTCTCTGTCTCATTGTGCTCTGGATTTGTCCTGGGTGGGCTGGGGTCCTTGGGTTGCATTTTGCTTCTGCATCTTTCTTTATTATCTATTTTTTCTTTGTTAATGCTTGTACATTTCTTATGATAGATAGCATTATCCCTAGTATTGAGGCTTCCCTGGAACACGTCTGTTCCTTAGGGATGTCTTCTCTATGTCAGTAGTTCTGGATCTTTGTGTCTATCCTGAGAACCTCCCTTCCCAATGTATTAAGCATGGTAAGTTGCTATTTGTCTCAGTACCCACTCTGTTCTTACTGGACTACAGTGGTGGTTATTACAACATACAATCACAGTGTTTTCATATGAAGGAGTAAAACTGATTATAAGAGGTATGACATACTGACTAAAGTAGTACAGTTATCAATGTTAATGGTGTCTTAACATAGCCGGCCTACTGACATACTGTTGTAACTATTAACCTGATACATTTAACCATAGGACCATACTCTACTGTTATATAACAGTATCCAACATGTAGCAGGAACTTGTATGCAATGACTTCCCTTTTAGTGAAGTGATTTTAACATCTTGTCTTGATGGATGAAGAAGGCTAGGAAACAAGATAGAGAGATGAATGAGGTAAAATAGAGTAGGAGCAAGTCTGAAGTGCACAGGATGATCACCCAGGTTTGGGGAAACTGGAAGACACAGGAAGAAAAAATGGAAAGTAAAGAAAAGGAGTGTTGAAGTGAACCAGAAAGAGAAGAGACAGTGTTTACTCACACAAGAGTATCATGAAAGCAAGCAATACAGCTGAGGATAGAGATCCAGAAGATGACTAGAAGATAACAAATAGAAAGGTAAGAGATCTAAGTTGTGAAATGAAAAGACAAAAGAGAGAAAAAACAAAACAAAAATTACCACCAAGAAACAAAATTAGATAAAACAAAACACAACAAAAAACCCAGCTGGACAGGAAAAAGAAAGCCAATCAAACAAGCAGAGAAAAATAAATGTAGTAAAATTCCTCTAGTGTTTTCATTTTGTGTTAGGTGCAAGTTGGATCTTAGAAATGTTTTGTATTCCAACCAAGTTTGCCATGGCATCTCTGCTGGATGTGGGTCTGATCTTGGCCTCTGAATGTGGTGGCCAAGACTGTTCTGTTGTTGGAGTTCTCCCCAAGCCCTTTGAGTAAAAAAATGGCAGCCCCACCTGCCCACTTCTAGTTCACAGGTCTGTCTTCCAAAGCACAGCACTTGTTCACCTAACCAGTTCTGGGTCATATTCTCACTGCTGCTTCAAACTTTTACACGTCACTATTTCCACCTGTCCATCATCTGTGCCCCTCCTGGGACCTTGTCAGAGCACTAAGGGTCCAGCCATATGTCCACTAGGGGTCCAGCTAGGCAAGCATATGTGCCCCCATAGGGGCTGTGATGGTCTGCTGAGGTTCCTACCTGGGCTGGGGCTGCTTGTGTTACCCCACCTGAGCAGTAATGTCCTCACTTCAGATTTTTATGAGGTAGGCTGTTTCCTGGTGTTGTGAGTCTCAAACTTTCTCTTCAGTATATATATGTCTGATTATTTAGGAGGCAGTGAACTTTGAGGATGTGGCTGTGAACTTCACCACCGAGGAGTGGGCCTTGCTGGATCCTTCCCAAAAGCAGCTTTATAGAGAGGTGATGTGGGAAAACTTTAGGAACATGGTTGATATAGGTAAGAAAGTATCATTTTCTCTGTGGTATCTGAGAGTATGTGTTGTTGCACATCAGTGCAGTTTCCTTAATTACAATATGGAGAGAATTTAATGCATTTTCCAAGCATGATTACATTATACTGTGAATCTAACTGGATTCTATTACTTTTTATGTAATATAGTTGTTCATCATTATATTTGTTTCTACACTTTAGGAAAAAATTGGTATGGCCAGCAAATTGAACATGAATACAAAAATTACAGGAGAAATATAAGGTAATTATCATTCTCAAAATATGAATGTTCCCAAAGAGTCAGGTTGTGAGCAGAAATATTAAAACCAAGCATAATGTACATGAGAGTCCATGTTTAAATTTCTTTAATCTTATGAAATATTGAGTATCTCTACTCTGAAAATTGAATACTTGAAATATTCCAATATCTGAAACTTAGGGAGTACTTTCATTATGCTGCAAGGGACAGTATCTAATGTATAAGAATGAAATTATTTTTCATGCTCAAGATTATAAAAATGTTGTATGAAATTGCATCGAAATTTTTCCATAAGTTTATACAAAACAAATTTTGTGTTTGGACTAAGACCCCAGTTCAGGATGTGCAATTATATATATATATATATATATATATATATATATATATGAGTATATTGAAAAGACCACTTTTATGTGAAATAAATTATATAAGGAATGCTATCTATATTTTAAAGTTGTAAACACATTGAATATTTGCCTAGTTGTAATCAAGTGGGAGTACTCAAAATGCAAATGAATACTATGATTTTGATAACAGCTCTTTTTTAGAAAATCCTCCACACTGGTGTACTCGTGATCCAAAATATTAGGATGCACCATCCCATATTCTTGGTGGGCAAGACAGAGAGTATATAACATCTATGGAAATGAATATAGCAATTTTTGAAAAGTGTGATAAGAGAAATTCCATTTTGCCTGGAATCATGGTGCATACCTACTTTGCCAGCACTCAAGATATTGACACAGAAGGATTGCCTTGAATTAGAGGTGAACCTTTGCTATATAGTGAATCAATGCTAGCTTGGGCTGTATAATGAGATGTTGTCTAACTCAGTTTTAGCCAGCTATACTTCTCCTGAGTATCTTCTTCTACCCAAGGCCAAAGAAATCATATTATGATGATACATGCATGCCCATGTTTTTAGCAGTATAATGTACAATACTTCAGCTCAATAAACATCCTACATGCTCATTCACAGATGAATACATTAAGGATATTGAGTAGACTCAACATGATATTTCATGTTCTCAATCTTAATACTATATGAATCTGTGACAGGAAAAACATACATTTATGCTCAGTCTGGATAACAATGCTTGATGAGACTGTTAAAATAAAATAAAAATAAATAAATAAGGCTGGGATGTTTGTCAGTGCTAAAATTCTAGGTCGGTTTCCATGATGGAAAGAAATTGATGTGTCTACATAATGGAGTAGTAATACTCAGCCATAGACAAGAATGAAATGATGTCACTTAACAAAAGGTCGGTGGATCCTGTGCCCATAATCTTATGCTAAGTGTGAGATAGGGAATGGTAAGAGATTCAGTGGAAGGCAGAGGGATTGAGTCCTGGAGGGAATGGTATTAAAAATAACCCACATATGGTATACATATGTATGAATTACTCAAAAAGAAAATGTTATGTATTACAGTCATGTGAATTATAATCTCACAGTTGTACACTGTACTTTTGGTAAATGTTGTTTTCAAGCTATTTTCCAGAGTATACAGTAAATTCATGATCTAATATTCTTAGAATGCATCAAACCTGATCTCACTGTAAATCATTAATGAAAAGACTTTTGAATGTGATTGGTTGTATTGTCTTATTTTTTTATAGAAGTGAAGAAGTAGAGGAATGCTGTCAATATAAATTATGGTCTGAGCATGAACAAATGAGATTTTGGGCTCCAGATATTAATATGAACATGGAACCAGTTGACACAAAACCAGGTGAAAGATCTGCTTGCAGAAAGCCCTTAACTGGTAAATTATTTCCAGAAGTTCTCACCATTGCTAACACTAGACTCAAATCACATGAGTGTCAGGGATTTGAAGATGAGAAAACCTGCACTGACATCCACTTCTTTCATAAGCATGCAAACCAATGCCCTGGAGAGAAACACTATGAGTATAAGCAAACTTTAACATTGTACTCTGTTCTTCTTGAAGGAAATAACACAGAAGAGAAGTCCTTTGTCTTTGAGCAAGATGTGAAAGCCTTCAATACATCCACCTATGTTCAAATTGGGGAAAGATACCCCAGTGAAGTGAATACCTATGTATGTATACAATATGAAAATGGTTTTAATTTTCAGCATGATATTCAGATACAGGAAAGAGCTAACACTGTAGAAAATCACTCTGGAAGTAAAAACTATGGGGCATTATACAGTAATAACTTTTCATTTTGGGAATGCAAAAAACTTCACACTGTGAAGAAACCCTGTATGTGTAAGCAATATGTGAGAGCTCTCAGTAGCCAAGGTCATTGTCAAATACTAGAGAGAACTGACACTACAGAAAAATCCTATATTTGTAACCAGTGTGGGAAAGCTCTCAGATCACAAAGTAATTGTGAAACACAGGAAGGAGTTCACAGTAGATTAAAACAATGTGTGTGTGAGCAAGGTGTGAATACTTTCAGCACACACAGGCATTGTCAAATGCATGAAATAACTCATTCTGGGGAGAAACTCTATATATGTAACCACTGTGGGAAAACTTTCAGCAGATACAGTCATTGTCAAATTCATGAAAGAACTCACACTGGGGAGAAACCCTATGTGTGTAACCACTGTGGGAAAACTTTCAGCAGCCACAGTCACTGTCAAATCCATGAAAGAATTCACACTGGGGAGAAGCCCTATGCATGTATTCAATGTGGAAAAACTTTCCACACACAAGGTAATTGTAAAAGTCATGAAAGAACTCACACTGGGGAGAAACCTTATGGATGTAAACAATGTGGGAAAACTTTCAGCACACAGAGTACTTGTAAAAGGCATGAAAGAACTCACACTGGGGAAAAGCCCTATATATGTAACTGCTGTGGGAAAAGTTTCACCAGACACAGTAGTTGTATAAGACACGAAAGAACTCACAATGGAGATAAACCCTATGTATGTAACCACTGTGGGAAAACTTTCACCAGATACAGTCACTATCAAATTCATGAAAGAACTCACACTGGGGAGAAACCCCATGCATGTATTCATTGTGGGAAAACTTTCCACACACAAGGTAATTGTAAAAGTCATGAAAGAACTCACACTGGGGAGAAACCCTATGGATGTAACCACTGTGGGAAAACTTTCAGCAGGCACAGTCACTGTCAAATTCATGAAAGAATTCACACTGGGGAGAAGCCCTATGCATGTATTCAATGTGGGAAAACTTTCTACACACAAGGTGATTGTAAAAGTCATGAAAGAACTCACACTGGGGAGAAACCTTATGGATGTAAACAATGTGGGAAAACTTTCAGCACACAGGGTACTCGTAAAAGACATGAAAGAACTCATACTGGGGAAAAGCCCCATACATGTAACTACTGTGGGAAAGCTTTCACCAGACACAGTAGTTGTATAAAACATGAAAGAGTTCACACTGGAGATAAACCCTACCTGTGTAACCACTGTGGGAGAAGTTTCAGCAGTCGCAATCATTGTCAAATTCATGAAAGAGCTCACACTGGGGAGAAACCCTATGAATGTAAGCAATGTGGGAAAGCTTTCAGTAGATACCGCCATTGTCAAGCCCATGAACGTACTCACAGGGGGAAACGTTATGTATATAAATAGTTTGAAAATGCATAAACTATATACATGTATTGTTAAATTTGTGAAAGAACTCTAAACTGGAAAAAAGACTTTAGTTATCTATTAATCATCACAGACTTAAAAATGTAAGGGGATTTATGTGTGATAATATAATTTAACTTGCACAAACATTAAAAGACAGTGGAGAGAAGTTTTCTTTGTAAACAGTTTAAAGAATCTTTCAATACATGGAGATAACACTACATAAATAAAAGAATATAATGAGAACCTGAATATATATGAGTAATGTTGGAATGGTTTTGTTTCTCAATGCATTCAAATATATGAACGAATACTCATGTGAGCAAAGCCTTTTGTATGTAATGTGTCACACCCTTCAATTTTTCCACTCATTTGAAATAGATGAAGAAACTCATACTAAACAGAATCCCTATGTGGATAATTTTAGAAAGCATTTTGTGATTCCTATAACCTCAGAAAACATGCACATACACAAAGGGAGAGTGTACATATAGGACTGGAATTGTCTTTGAAGAAATAGAAAGGTAAGTGATATCCTGAAAGTCATTCCTGAAAACAACCATTCCAATATCAGAAAAGGACCCAACCCTAAAAGAGAGCTACAGAATAAACCAGCAAGGTAGTAGCAGGGGGAGGTGGGGCACAAATCAGCATTGCCTAGGTGGGACCCACAGTTGTGGAGAGAAATCCTTATAATGTCTGATGAGTTATCAAGAGTTTGGACTAACCAAAAATGTCTACACACCCTGTAATATGTCATGACCCCATAGATAACTGGTATAAGTGGGAGGACATAAGGTGAGAAATATTCAGAATGCCTTTCTGTATTCCTCCAGGTTAGCAACTTAGCACTTCTACTAGGGTGTGAAACACTCTCCACCCCCTGTAGATCTGTAGTTGGTACATGCAGAGGCCATACCTTAGGCCAGTAGTGTTGGGCAGTAACTGGAACATCCACACCTGTGTCTAAAAGCCCTTTAAATGTTTTTCCTTCAATAATCAATTCCATCTCAGGATGCTCTTGGTTAATCTGTTGAATCCAGTACATATTAGAGGACCCAAACCTTTGGTCCCCTTTCCTTGTTTATAGATTTTCCAATTTTTGTCTATGTAAGAATGATCAGTTGAGAAATAAGAGTCCAGTGTGACTTGAACAGTGTTTTCAATAGTTTGAACCATAACTTTGATTTCCCCTGTAAAGTCAGTTTTGATGACACCAGGCAATTCCTGGAGACTTTTTAAAATGAGACCTCTGTGGCTGAGCAGGAAACCCACTGTTCCTTGAGGCAGAGGTCCATAGACTCCAGTAGGAATAACTAGGGGTCCCATTTCAAAGGGTAGTAAGAATCTGAAGGAGGGACTGAGGTCCAAGCCTCTGCTGTCTTTTGTCACTTGGCAGAACTCAGGAGTGCACTTGCCATTGGAGGGTAGGGTTGGGGAAGAATTAGGGAAAATGCCCCCAGTGTTTTGCAGGGTTGGGGAAGGCTCCACTGGCAGTTTCCCCAAAATGGGTTGGCCTTCCACATTAGTTTTGGATCTACACTCATGCCCAATGATAACCTCATCTATATTTTGGACAGATAGTAGGTTTTGTTGAAGGGACAGATAGTGGTTGTGCTGCCCCTACAGATGCAGCAGAGCAATTGTAGGCAAAATACCCCTTACCCCTTCAGCTGAAACAGGTAGAAGTTCCTTCCCTTTTCTGTAGGCTGTAGATGAATAATGTGAGTGATAGCTGCTGCCAAGATAGCCTCCTGTACATATGGCAGTCCAATGTCTGCACAAATGCAAATCATCTTAGCCAGTGTAGCCTGTGTTTTGTCAGGTCTCAAACCTCTATCCACAATTTATAGGTATTTTCAAAGGCCAACTATTGAACTATTAACTTGCTAGCCTCTGTATCATTTATATTCCCACTAGCCTGCAATAAGCATGCTGTAGAATCTTGAAAAGATTAGTCAGGACCCTGACAAATGAGTCAAATCAAGGGATGTCTGACCTTCTGAAGGAAGTTCTTCCAGTACTTTGTGGAAGCTATTTTAGTTTGTTCATAGACTTGCAATTCAAAAGTCAGTTGATTATTTGTGACTGCAAATGCACCTCCAGTTACCATGCCCTTTGTAATGGCTATGTTTTGAACAACATTGCACATTGCTTCATCTTTGCACAATTAAAAAAAAAATTCCTCTCTACAACAAATAATCCCTCATACTTAAATATGCTTTACCTATCCCTTTCCAACCCTTTGAGGCCATAATCTGTTGCCCTAGGAGCTCTATTAAACATAGGGTAAAAGTGGCCATGGCGCCATAAGTAGTAGTAGCTTGTTTTAATTTTTTTAAGGTCTTAAAAGGTACAGCTACATGAAGACATAATTTGTCCTAGATTACTGGGAACTTGAACTTCAGTTGTTGAAAACACTCCATGGACTCTCACACCAATCTGGCCGCTTTTAGTGCCAGTTGCAAGGGAGAGAGACAAAACAGCTCTACTTGAAAGGCAAAAGTTTCAACCGTGACATCAAAATTTCTCTGAGCTGAAAAGGCAGGAATTGCTGCTAATGGCTCAAAGTTATCAGGGTGGCTGTTGTTCTGCCATCTTTTTCCCACTTGGGACTTCATTTTAAAGTAGTCCTCTGAGCCACATCTTTTGTGGCCATCTCAACAAGCCATTGATGCTCTATAATACAAATAACAAAGTAAATACAGGACTCAAGAATACAACAAGCATTTATATATCTGTGATTCTTGAGAATCTGTTTACCTCATGTTTTACACTGATATGGGCTTAGTATTGGTGATATTAATGGGCTCAATACTGAGGCTACTGAAACACTTCTCTCCCTTTATGCACACTAGATGTGTTCTCACCTGCTAAATTTCAAATTTCTTCATTTCCCAGGTCCCTGTTAAGTGCCATTCTGTGGTAGCCCATGTAACTCTTGAATTACCTAGGGTGAGGACTGTAAAGGGCAATGAGAAAGTGAAGAAATGAATACAAGATACAGAATCATGTGATTAGGTGGAGCCTTGTCTCTGGATGGAAGGAAAGGAACTTGTCAACCACCACAGTGTATTTATTTACACACTTGATAGATTATTGTTAATATGACACTACTTTGCTTAGCAACTCATTGCTTGGATTGCCTTGGGCACTTGGTGTTCTCTGGAAAGGAGTAGCTTGTTCCTGTGGGTTGCCTTGGCTACTCTTTGTTCTTGGAACTGTCCTTGCTTGAGCTCCACATGTGTGATAAATCTCCAGCCTTAGCTCCCCACATACACTGACCTAGCAAGGCCTTGCCAGGGGCACTCATGATACACAGGCAGAGCCAATGGTGTGGAAATGTCTGAAGCAGCAGTGAGAATATGAGCTAGCAGTTGCTGTTAGGTGAACCAGTGGTATGATTTGGCACACAGATGTATGGAATATAAACAGGCAGGTGGAGCCACCATTTTTTTAATCAAAGGTGCCGGGGAGAACTCCACCAGCAGAAGACCAGTCCCAGCCTCCACATCCAAAGGCCAAGGTCAGCCCCATATACAGCACAAATCCCATGGCAATCCTGAGTGTAGTATACAGCACATTTCTGTGATCTGACTTGGACCTACCACAGAAATGAAAACACCAGAGAGATTTTATTGCTTTTATTCTTCTCTGATTGGTTTTCTTTTCTCTGTCCCACTGGGATTTTCTTCCATTTTGTTTGAATTTGTCTTGTTTTAGGTTATTTTGGATCACTCTATTTTTCACATGTGGGCATTCAGTGTTCTCCACTTCCCTTTAAGTTGTACCTTCTTTGTATCTCACACATTCTGATGTGTTCTGCAGTCATTCTTGTTTCATGTTAGAAATCATTTAATTTCTTCTGTGACTGACCAATCATTAGTGCATTGCTTAATCTCCAATTGTTTACATACTGAGTTTTCTTTTATCAGTGATTTAAACTTCTTTGAACTATAATGTGATAATATATTGATTCTTTTGTATTCATATAACCAATCCTTATGCCTTATATATGGCATATATATTATGCATGCTTCCCTTTGGCAAAGTCACCACTCTCTGGTCTGCAGGCAGATGGGGCCTCCACTTTTTATCAAAGGGTTTGGGTAGAACTCTAGCAGCAGAAGAACACTCTCAGATCTCACATCCAAAGGCCAAGGTCAGCCACACACCCAGCACTAATCCCATGGAAACCTTGACTGGATTTCTGTGATCTGACTTGGATCTACCACAGCGATGAAGACACCAGAGGGATTTTACTACATTTATTTTTCTTTGTTTGATTGATTTTCTTTTTTCTGTCCCATTGGGGTTTTCTTCCATTTTGTTTTAATTTGTCTTATTTTCTTTTTGTATTTATTTTTGGTTTTTATTTTTCCTCTCTCTTTTCTCTCTTTTTTATTCTACTCCCTTTCATGACATATATTTCTTTTTGTTTTCTTCTACTCAACTTTCTCTTTTTTATTCTACTCCCTTTCATGACATATATTTCTTTTTGTTTTTTTCTACTCAACTTCTTTCTTTCATGAATTATCTCACTTGATAGAACACTAATAGAAAGAAATCAGCAGGCAGGGCAAGCAGTTAAACAGGAGAAAGACAGGGCACCAACTTGAAAATAACATGGAAAAGATAAGCCAACACATACCAGTTATAATCATCGATTTAAATGGTCTCAACTCACCAAGCAAAAGAAACAGGCTGGCAGAATGGATCAAGAAGCAAACTCCCAACAATGTGCTGCATGCAAGAAAAACATTTAACTCCAAAAACATTCATAAACTAAAAGTCAAAGGATGAAAATCAATACCCCATATGAGAGAAACCCAGAAAAAGGCAGGGGTAGATATTCTATTTGCAGACAATGTGAACTTCAGCCAAGACTGATGAAAAGAGACAAAAAAGGTCACTATATAATTGTTACAGGAAAATCCAAGGGGAAGAGCTAATAATAATAAATATATATGCATACATTCTTGGTCCATTTGTCACAGATCAGAACACAATGTACCTTGTTAGGTTAAGCATTCTTTATTTTGTTTCATTGATCCATGTCTGTTGTTCCAGTAAAATGTTAAATGTAACACTGTAGCTTTCTAAAATAACTTGAAATCTGGGATTATGATTCCTCTAGCTCTATCTTTGCTGCTCAAGACAGCTTTTGTTATTCTGAGGATTTCCTGTGAAAAATCCTGCTGATACTTTGATTGGAATTGCATTCAATCTGTGCATCAGCCTTGGAAATACTGAGAT